GGTATTTTCAGTAACCTCATATGCATGCAAAAGCTGGACAGTGAATAAGGAAGACCGTAGAAGAACTAATGCTTTTGGGTTATGGGGTTGGAGGGGAATATTGAAAGTGCCATGGGCTGACAAAAGAACTAATAGATCTGTTTTGAAAGAGTGCAGCCAGAGTGCTCCTTGGAGGCCAAGATGACCAAATTTTGTCTCTCATACTTTGGACATATTGTCAGGAGGGACCAGTTGCTGGAGAAGGATATCATGTTTTAAGGTGGAGGGTCAGAGAAAAAGAGGAAGCTCCCCAATGAGATGAATTGGCCAAGTGGCAGCATCTATGGACTCAAGCATGGCAACAGTAGTGAGGTTGGCCCAGGATCGGGCACTGTTTCGTTCTACTGTGCGTAAGGTCACTATGGGTTGGTGCTGACTCGATGGCACCTAACACCAACACCATCAAAGTTTGCATTTTTCCTTAAATTTTTTTTGTGGTTTGATAGCTGATTTCCTTTTATGGCTGAATAACATTCTACTGTATGCATGTATACAGTTTATTCACCAGTCGAAATATATCTTGGTTGCTTCCAAGTTTTAGCAATTATGAATAAACAAACAAACAAAATAAACCTATATGTTGATGAGTCAGTTCAGATACATAAGGACCCTATAATATAGACTAGAATTGCTCCATAGGATTTCCAAAGCAGTAATATTTCATAGCCATGTCTTTCTACTGTGGAGTCTCTGACTGAGTTCAAACCACCAACCTTTTAGTTAGCAGCTGACTGCTTAAGAACTGAACCACCAGGGCTCCTACATCATTAGGAAAAAAGCTGCTATAAACACGTATGCACGGGGTTTTATGTGGATATCATTTTCAGTTCATTTTGGTAAATACTAAGGAGTGCAATGCTGGGTTGTATTGTAAGCCTATATTTAGTTTTGTAAGAAAGTGTCAACTCTCAATCTGGGTCACTTTTTTTTTTTTTTTTTAACCTTCTTTCCAAGTACTCTATGGTTAGACTAGGTAATAATATGTTTGAATATGGACAATCCTGTATCATTTGACATTTAGCTAGTGGTAAACATGCCTTTCATTGTTTGCTATGTGGAAGAAAAGCAAACCAAGCAAAAGAAATCAAGGGTCTGAAATCTCTCAGAAAGTTAATACTTATTTTTTTTTTGCAAAAATGCATATTGAGCACTGCCTTGTTAATTTTATTTTAATCTTTACTTCTTAGAACTGGAAGATAAGCAGAAATGTACAGCTGATTCCTCTTCGAATGTTAATTTGTTCTTACAAATGTTTTAATAGACGTGGCCCTGACCTCTTTGGAATTGCTCAGGTGTAGAGCAGGTAAGACGCTCCTTCTGAGCCTCCCCTGATTTGCCCCATTGGCTCTAGTTACACTATTACTTATGGTGCTGTGCTGTTGATTCTCTTTGTAAGTGGAGCAATCAAAGGAATGAAAATATCATTGTAAAGATCTTAATCTATGAATTACAGTCTACCTTTAGATTGTTTCAACTCTGCATGTGCTGTCTCTTCCTCACCCTCCTTTGGCTTAAAATAAAATGAAAATTGGAAAAAAGAGAGATATGTGACACATGAGTGTTATTTTTTATCCCTCTCATTTAGTAACCACCATCTTCCTGTTGAGGAGTCCTGATATGGTGCTGTAGGATAAGGGCTGGACTGCTTAACTGCAAGGTTGGTGGTTCAAACCCACCAGGGCAGGACTAGAGAAATGAAAACACAACCTTCAGAAATGTATAGATGGAGGACGTGTCGACAAACAGTAGCTTCACGTATATGTATTTTTGTTTAATGAAGCTTTCTATGATTTTGTAACAACACATTTTGACATACCCTGGTATTAAAAACTAAGGTGAAACTTTCATTTCACTTGAAAATGAGATGTTATTGTTAGCTGGTATCAAGTCAGACCTTAATTCATAGCAACTCCATATATTGCAGAACAGAAGTACTCTATAGTTTTTCTTGGCTGAAACGTTAACAGAAGTAGCTTGCCAGGCCATTAGGTGTGTTTGAATTGGCAACCTTTAGGTTAACAGTTGATTGCATCACACAGAATTAAATATGAGTAATAGGATGGAAGCCTAGGTTAGGTTTCTCCTTATATCACCTTATTACTGCTTTTTCTTTTCTTTTTTTCTTTTCACACAAGGGAAACTGATAGAAACCTGGGCAGTAGTGTTGAAATGAGAATGTGATTCACTTTCTCCAAATGATATCTTAAAAACGAGGGCTAGAACTAGGGACGCCATGAGTTGGACAATGGATTTGGTATTTGGTGGGGAGTGTGGTTGTGCTGAGCAGCATCAACATCTTTACAGAACATGTTAGAAATGCAAATTGCCTGACTCCACCCCAGATCTACTGAATCAGAAACTCAGGGGGATGACAGGGAGAACAGCAAGCCCTTCAGATGATTTTGGTGTTCACTTTGGCGTGAGAACCACAGAGGTAATCATTTCTAGTCTTGGTGTGGAGCTGTGGGGTAGTGCACAGACCGCAGGGTTGGTTTGAACTGTAAGGTCAGCAGTTCAAATTCAACAGCTGCTCCTTGGAAACTATAAGGGCCACTATGAGTCAGAAGTGACTCAACAGCAGTTAACAACAATAACAACAACAAGAAGATTATGATAAGTTTTTATGGGCTCTGAAAGCAAGTGAGTATCCATACTTTTTATATTTAAGCCCCACAAGAAATGTATTTCCTTACATATCTATTTGATTGTTCTGGTGGAAAACAATGTAGATTCTGATGGTCCAGTTTAGCACATACCATTTTAACCAGGCCTTTTAGGAATTCACATCAGGACATATTCCATTATGCGTCAGAGTTGGCTGAAGCATACCTGGGAAATGAAATCAGTGGAGCACAGTTGAGAAGACCTCAACTCCAATAATAAATACTAGGTCTGGGACACTGAGACAGACTTGGAGGCTCAAGGTAACTTTCTAACATTCATTAACCAAGAAGACATTTTAAAGAAAAATTAAAACAAAGTACAAATGAAAGATATCAGAATTCATTTAAAATTAGTTACAGTAATAACTAATTTTTCTTGAGAAAAGTGTGCTCAATACATTTATTTTAATTAGTGAATTAATTTTATACAGATTATGCTGTTGGAGTCCTGGTGTGGTGCTGTAGGAAAAGCACTGGAGTGCTTTCTGCAAGGTCGATGGTTCAAACCCACCAGCAACTCCTTGGAAACCCTATGAGTTGGAACCAACTTGACGGTACTTAACAACAACAATATTCAATCTGTATGCTGAGAAAGTAATAGCAACAACATGGCAATGGAAGTACATCTCATGTATTTTAGACATGTTTTCAGGAGGAATCGGTCCCTAGAAAAGGATATCATGCTTGATAGAGGGTCAGCAACAAAGGGACAGATCCCCATCAAAATGTAGTGACGCAGTGTCTTCAACAAAGGGCTCAAACATAAGAATTATGAGGATGGCACAGAACTGGGCAGGGCATTGTTTTGTTCTGTTATGCTTACAGTCTTGAATGCATCTAACAACAACAGCAATGCTGTTTAAAAAAAGTGTTTTATTTATGCTTTTAAATCTCACAACCTCAACCTCAATTAATATGTCATCTTGGTTGGGAGAAAGGCTTTACCTTTTTATCTATGGAAAACTTTAGCTATTCACTTTTCTATTTACACATTTATTTAATAAATACTTCAGCTTAGGAGACCCAAAAGAAGAATCTTGTATCGCTACACCTATTTCCACTTTCATATTTCATGCTATTGCAAGCTGGTTCTGCCTCACCATTTCACACAACTACTCTTTCAAAAGCCATTGGTGCCAGTCCAATCGTTTCTCATCTGGCTGGACATCCGTTATCGATTGCAACTCTACTGACCATCTTCTGTTCCTGAAACTGTATGCACTGGGTTTCTTCTTTTCATTCTCTTAATTTCCTAATTCTTAATTTGCTTCTTCATAATCAATTGGACTTCTCCTCTCTGTCTTCCCAAAATGGGTGTCCTGTGAGATGCTCTAGTCAGTTTCACTTATTCTGTTTCTTTGCTAGAACAATTGCATCTGGTCCCACCAGTTTATTTATCTTATTTATTACACCTAAGTGGGTAATTCCTAAATATATTGTTCTATTTTAATCAATATTTCCAAATTCCTTAACGTCAACATATCTAAAACAAAACTGATTCTCTTATTTATAATTTTTTCTGTTTATTCATTATTAAACAACTATTTAATAATACACTGTTCTCTGTTCCAGAGCTATAGTTATGAACAAAATGGATAAGGCCCATCCTCTCATGAAGTTTATATTCTATTGGAGGAGGCAAAAAAAATTTTTTTTTCATGATTATGTTGTTTATTAGGGAACTGAACAGGGTGCAATTCAGGATCAGAAAGGATGCAGCAGTTCTCGAGTCAGGAATGCCTCTTGTCTGCCATACTGCAGACACACCTCACTCTTGTCTTCGGCCTTTCAGTCATGTGGCTCCTTGGCCTATGGCCTGCTCCCCTGCTCCAGCAAGTGTTACATAGCTCTTTTTAGCTTTTAGTCTGTGAATGCCCAAAGGGCACATTCTGCAAGCCAGTCTCCTGCCCATAAACACTCAGCTTTACTCAGTCCATGGGCCTGAAGCCCAAGCTGCTCTATCTCTCCATGCCAACAGATGTGTTGTTGCCTCTTCTGTTACTGCTTTTCTAGGTAAGGATCTCATGCTCCACTCATGCTCTTCCTTCTTGATGATCCTGGGATTGTCTGTTCTTGCTTTTTTTTTTTTTTTTAAAGCTCAACT